GCTGCAGCAACACTGTGATCATGGCAAGCACACCTGCAGCTGCTTTGTCTTTTTTTGAGGCACATCAAAATGCACCCGAGCTGATAGGTCAGCCAGTCAATTTGTAATGTGAAAGACAAGGTAACGTTAGCACCTATGGACTGTTAGCAGACATGTTAGCTCAGCTGTTTAACATTAGCTTGTTACTAGCTTTGTAGCTAAGGGACATTAACTTATTAGATTGATGTGTGCTGAACGTTTTGACAAGATGAGCAAGTGTCTGTTTGCTTGCTACATTTGTTCGCATAGAGTGCCGATTTTTCCATGACCACAGAAAAGGCTGGGTAATTAATCATTCACTTTCCGCTGCCACCATCTGCTAGCTAGTATTAAACTGAGGGAGAGACCATATTGATTATTAACACGAGATACAGGGAGGTTACGGGTTTATTGTTGACCATGTAACATTACAGGCTCATTAGGTTACCATTACACTGGTTTTGAGCGGCTACAGCAATGTGTTAATTTACAGTAGATTATAAGATATCATTAGTTGGAGACTCAGTGTAATTACAAAATATGGTTGCACTCAACCTTCATTGAAAAATAGGTTACAGTTATTATTGCATGCCTATAATGTTAGCAATATTTTCCTGTGAAAACAATGCAGTATTCTAAGCAGTATAGATGGCATGCAGCAGATGATAGGATGCTCTTTACAATCATAAGGGACTTGAGACTTGACTTGAACTTGCACCTTAAAGACTTGAGATTCAACTTGGACTCTAGCTCAAAGACTTGAGACTTGACTTGGACTTGCTAAAAATGGCTTGTCAGCCAAGGTGCCCAGAGCAACACAGGGAGCCAGGCCACTGTCCAATGGGTTTTAGGAGACACTAGTGCAATCCCAATCACACTTGATTATAACAGTAAAAATTGCTGAGGTATAAACCAAATATTTAAGCACCACTGTAATACTAATGCACAGAGGACATTGTATTGCCTATAGTATTTGAGAACATACAATATCTCACCATAGCTCCTGCTTCACAAAGAGATTTTTCTTTCTCCCTTTTTATTAGAATAGGTAAAAATGTATGTGTAAGCACTGTACATCTTTCTCTGTCACTCTTACTCCACACCAATTGGATTATATTCAAAAAAGGAACAAACAAAAAAAACCTCTAGGACAGTGGGAAATTTTATCATTTTTCGAATGTGACTTTTTGGCCTGAATTAATGGTACAGGTAGGAGCACTTTTTTCCAGTTATAGGGTCTGACAATACCTGCAGACACAGAGCAGTGCCTCATGTCAACATCTGCAGATCATTCACTGTTAATCAATGGACATTACAAGCCTATTTTCAGATAACCACAGCAGAACAGGGGGTGAGAACACACTACTGGACTAACACACAGTACACAACCTATCCACCAGAACCCTGTTCATTAATTTCAATTGGACAAGACCCTTAATTTGGATGAGCCCAGCACTCTAGCAAACTGTAACAATTCATGGAAGCCCAAACCAGAGTCAAGGGAAAAGGAACAGGTTCGTGCTGTGTTTCAGCCAACAGAGGCCTTAGAGTTTGGTTATACTATAGGCCTATAGCAGTACTTGTGGGCATGGTTCTCTACTGCCACTCTAGCTACTGGAGTCTGCAGGAGTGCTACAGTGGCTGGCATAGTTAAGTTAGCTATAGATGCTGATGCAGGGCTGGGACTGCCAAGCACAACTACTCTGCCAGCCTTGGATTTGGTATTGGAAATAGGTCTGAATGCTGAACAAGTTGCTGGCATCAGCATTGCTCCAAAGGGGAGAGGGGGGAAAAAAACAAACAAACAAACCAGTAACAGATGCTACAGTATGTCGGAATGTCTGAACCTACTTGGTAAATAAAGTTATCATTCAAGCTACATTATGCCTGAGGGCTACAACAATAGGCAGCATTTCAAAAGAATATATCTATGTATATATAGAGGTCTTTGTGAACCAGCATTCAGACCAAAACTGTTTTAAAACAATGCATGAGTCTGCTTTGGTGGGCGCATGTTGCTGCAGGTACCAGTGAGAGATGACAGGAAGTCCAGTTTGAGTAACAGATTCACAAAAATATGAGTCATTACTGTGTCAGTAAAAAGTAGCTACATTACAAAGTAATATATAAAGCATGTGCACTTGTCTTGCTGGATGTTATTTTTGGTCTACAAAAAAAACCTTCTCTATGCACAGCCACTGTAGTGAGAGGCTTTTATCACACAGGTGCTAAGGTTTGTCTGAATGTGGCCTAAAACATCACAGACATCACTGTTCTTGGTAACTTCGTAAAATGCTCTAACGTGGAAAATTATTGCTCTTCCCCACATTTTATGAATGGCATATTTTTAAACTAAATGGCTTAGAAGAAAGAGAGTAATTAGGTTACAGTCAAGCATAACTTATTTGCACATGCCAGATGATTTTTTTCTTTAGGCACATGAGTCTTCACACTGCATTTCTAATGACAATCAAGCAGCCAAACTCTAACTTTTGTGGTTTTGATTCTGGCCTAGTTCATGACATACTTGTCAACACGCAATGTTAAAACTTAATGTACAGGTATTAACATAAATTCTGATGTAAGACTTCTTGTCAAATTATAACTTGTTTGACCATCATCCTTTATGGACTGTCAAACAATTCTCTGCTCTCAAAAAATGTAACTCACTGGGTGAATTACGGTTACAGAGGCTGTCCTTCAACCAACGGACACGGGTAAAGGCAATCATCTGTCCTGCTTTCTACAGTAGTAATACATTGAAACCCTACAATCTGGCTGACCCTGTGCCATGACCTCTCAAAAAGGGTCAAGCAAGAGGTGAATTTCTCAATTAAGCTCAATAACCAATCAAGCAACAGCATATCCCTTAAATTTCAAGGTTGAAATGAGAAAAATGCTACATTGTCAAGGACCTTACCTTGTTAAACTGTGCACAAGTCAAGGGAAGGCAGCACAAAGTGAATGCTGCCTTCATATGACACAATAACGTGACAGAGTGCGTTACCATGTAGTATATGACTGATATGATAATGTATACTTTTCATGTATGGAGAACTACATTTGATAGGTTAATTGGTCAGAAATTATGCGTCAAGACTATGTCAACAGGGCTGATATGGTTTGAAAAAAATCTTTCTACATTCTGTTTTAAATTACTTCCAGTATTACTTAACTACATCAGAGTAAGCACAAATGTTTTCTATGTAATTGTGAGTTTTAATTTTTTTAAGAGATAAATGCTGAATTGTGAGATAATCCAAAAAATTAGGATAGAAAGTCTCTACTTTTTATGTGAGGCTTGTTCATATGAGAGTTCTAAGATTCATCAGACTCTCTTGATGTTGGGTAAAATTATTAACAAAGTCATACTTTAAGGTTGATTCTAACATTTGATGAATTAAGAACTTAATTAGTAGAAGATTAACATTATGCTTGCTGATTAGTCAACCTGTGTGTTTACTTTGTTTGCGTATGGTAATTCTATCATAGTTACGATTTAGTTTAGAGCACACGTAAGTTTGCTTACATATATGTTACAATTATGTTTACATAGTTGAGTATATCATTCTATGTGTTCACTGAATTCTTGGCTAGTATTTACTGTGTTAGCCAACTGGAGCACTGTTTGACATCAAGGAGAATGGTTTACTGAAACACTGAATCTCATTAGATTTACAGCCTTGACAAGGAGCGTCCACAGATACTTTATTATCACCACCTGGCTGAAGAGGCCAGGGAATTTGGGGTCACTGGGACACCAAGGGTAATAAACAAGAGATTAGATCTAAAAGCCAACAAGAGGAAGACAACTTCAAAGGCAGGGCAATATACAGACACACACAGGCAAGACAGTTTAATTAGCCAAACGGGAAGCCATGTCACATATAGTGTAGCAAAGAAAGAAGTGAGTCTAGGAATTCAGACAGTAGAATTTCCACCATCTTAAGGAAGCTGCCTTTCCCATTGGAGCAGAAAAGATGCAGGAGGAGGACGGATGGATAGATGGACCAGTAGAACAGCACGAGAGGACCGGACCAGCTTACAAGGGCACATTTGAAATTGTATAAAATCAACTGAATGGAGGAGGACAGTGTTCCTTCTCGTCCTGAAGATGAGTTGAACGGTTTTGCTGTTGAGGTCAGGGCTTCAGATAGAGATGGAACCCAGAGCTCTGTAAATTGCTTTAGTCGATGGTCTGTTTAGTTATGATAATAAATGTTTGAAAATTGATATTCGATTCCGATTATTCTTCATTAAAGAACACGCTGCACTGCACTGCACTGCACTGCACTGCACAAACTTGTCATAAATCACTCATTTTACACTGATGAATACCAACTGTCCATGAGGAGGTGCAGTCTTGATTATTAGCATGATCGCCACAAAAATCTAAATGTACTGCTTTGTAAAAACATTTCATTCACAGAAATGTCACACTTTACATAAAAAAATACATTAAAATCATTTCAGAGTGGTGTTAATAGTACATGTCAGTAATGTCATCAGTGCAGTGTTGTACTGTGACAGAAATGAAGTTAGATCCTAACATCCAAACATCTTTCTAAAGGAAAGTGGCCATTTACTTTTCCTACATTACTTCCTACTTACTGTAAATGCTGATGTATAAGGTGTTATGACAAAATATGCCAATATAAATACTAAAATCTAAAACATCTCAATAATTTGGCAAGTCTTGATGATGATGACATGAGAAACAGAATAATTAATTTAGCATTTAGTTTGTTTATACTGTATCACCAACTTTTGAATTTTGTTTGTACAAAAAAAAAAGGTGAATACCACAAACTCTGCTGCCAGTGGTATGACTGGTTCCTGCACGAGGCCCATTGTCTTTGAATACTCTCTTGAATACTCCTACATTGCATGATTACATTTCACAGATTGACTTAGCACACTTAGCCTGTAAAGGCTTTACCAATGCAAGAGTTGGCAAGCAAAGCAGACTGAATGGTCTCTACCTGCACTGACTTCCAGCAACCTCCTCTTCTTCTGCTGTCTTTCTTGCTTTTCACGTTCAGCCTTTTCCTTTGCCGCCTGTGCTCTCCTCTGCTTCTCCTCTGACTCCCTCCGCATTAGGTTCTCCTTCAGCGCTTGCTGCGTGGGTGGAGGGGAATAAGAAAAAGAGGGAAAAAACAAGACAGATTGCTAAATGGGATTAATTACAGCTCTGTAAAGCCTGTGAAATGAAGCTCCTAAGGTGCATTACCACTCTGGTGTTGCCAGACACTTGAGATCCATATGATTGATGGCAGAATGACTATAAGACATTAACAGAAGCTGCATTTCTTCTATAAAACACATTATTTTCTGTTCAAATGATGACTCTTCCCTGCACATGGCAAAACATATTTATTTCTATTTTTTAGAGATTATTAAAGCTCTGCTTCAGTAATTTAAAAACACTAGTGGTTGCTATAATTAATATAAGCTCTTGGGAACTACATGTCCTAATGTTATTGACCACTTTATCCAACTTCCAAACTAGTCAAAATGTCATCAACTCCATTCTGCCTTTCTATGAAGAATAACTGCACAGGTATGGTATCTACTGAACATCAGCCACTGCAGGTATATATAATCTGTGTACTAAAAGGCTGTTAAACTCATAGGATGGTGTCAGAAGCTCAATGGTATAACAGTCAAAAGACAGACTGCAATGATTTAATAAAGTGCTATCTTGATTGCCATCCTGAACAATAGCCAGTCACTTAACACATGGGAAGTCTGGGCTTTTATCAAATACACAACTCCTCCTCCTCCTCCTCCTTCTCCTCCTTTCCCTTCCTCTTGTGTTAATCACTCAGCCCAGCTTGACAGGCAGGTCAGTGGAACAACGCCAAACCAACATGAACAGATGCACACAAAATTACACACTGGAAGAACTGTGTAGTACAAGGAGAACTACAATGGCACAATAAAGAGTGGCAGTGACTTACTGAGGCACACCGACAGCCTCTTATTAAGTCAGCATACAAGTGACCATTGCTGGGAATGATATAATAAACTTGGATTCAAAACAATTCAGCATAGTCAACAAGCCTCTTGAAATATACATGTAGAGAAACAGCAACTTAATTACTAATAGCAGGGGACAGTTCTACAACTCTTAGCATGTTAGTAGCTACATACAAGCAGTCAGTAACACTGCTAGGGGGCATCCATCCTATCCAATATATAATCCATGTCTGCACACTGAAACTTGGAGAAAACCGCTTTTCGTTTTTTCCCTTATTTATCATTTAAGGGAGGGAGATGATTCCGGTTTGTGGGCAACTTAGCAAACATACTTTAAGGAACATGTACGTAAACTCTCCCATAAAAAAACAAAAAAAAACAAAACAACAACAACAAAAAAAAACAGTATCCAAAAACAATGTTGAATACTACTCATCCGGTTTATAGTAGGAGTACTGAAGAAGAGAGGCCTCTGCAAAATTAACTTATATTTGACAGAATGACTAACTTGTATTTGAAAGATTGTTGGTTGCTCATGGCAACCACCAATTTACAAATGACTATAATCTTAATGGGCAGCCATTCTGGTAAATTACAGAGAGAATAGGTAAAAAGAAAAGGAAAGAACAAGTGTTCTGACACATAACACACATTCAATAAAGAACAATTGGTGATCCCAGGTTAAAATTAGATTGTTGTGATGGATGCTTAACATGAACTCTGATACTCCTTCTCTTCGCTATCAAGCAGCTGTCATTAAAAAACTAATTCAGTTACTAAAACATAATGTAAATACACTCATATTATAGCAACAAAACAGACCCGTCACTATGCTTAACCCACACAATTTCATCGAGAGAGATTGATTAGGTTCTCTTTTGTCAACAAAACCAAAGTAAAATGCCCTACAAGCCTACAATGCAAATTGCACTGATACTAAATATAGGTCAATAATAATAAAGACCTTTCAAGTTTGATTCAAGATTTCATTTCATTAAACTCTACAAACATGTTAGTAGCTTTGTGAAGGTGTACTTTGTACAGATAGTGGTGCTTTGCTGACATTTGTCAGGTACATTTACCATCTACACAATCTTTGTGTTAACATGCTAACAAATGTTAATTATCAATAACCACAATCCGTGGCCACTGAAAATGATGGGAAAGTCAATTGTTTTGTAAGTACAGTACATGGTCAGTAACTAATGATGCCGGATCAAAGATTTTATAATTCTTCCTGAGGGAACCATGAAAGTCTGTATCAAATTTCACAACAATTTGCAATCGTGTTACTATCAATAACAACTTGCTGGTGGCACTAGAGGAGAAGTCAGAGGATCTTCAAAGTCAATTGGATTTATCTAGGGGCTTTGAATTATATTGTATTATATTTCATGACAATCCATCTATCAATCAATCCATCTAGTACCACAAAAAAAAGACTGGTTTCTGCAGGTTTCATCAAATTAAATTTAAGACCTTTTTTAGATCACTGAGTGCAATTTAAGACATACTGTATCTTACACCCATAATGGCAAAAAAGTATGAAGGATATGTAGAAAAATCAGTGGTGTTGAATATATTGAAGATGAATAAATTGCTCTCCAAGTATTTTTTAAGCGTGCTAAGTCCACAGCACCTCGGTTTTTAATATTAGCAATAAATCCAAACACTGTGCAGATGTCACATTACAGGAGTCATGCTAAGTAGGTCATGTTTTTCTGACTTTCCATGAGACTCCAGTGCCTTTATTCCCCCGAGTACCTAATTTCAGTCTTTTCTTGCACATGGTGCAACGGGTTGTTTTGCTTAATCCACTTCAACTGAGAAGTGAATTCACTGTTTTGAGTCCAGGTCTCATTAAACTCGTATTTTCCCATATTAGGTAGATCAAAGTTACAAAAACAACAATTTACTATGTTATTTCACACACCATCACCACCACCACCACAACGTGCTAGCTATTTGTTCTTGGATAAATTCTGACTGGGCTGCAAAGTTTGCAAATATTATGGGTTTCAAATTGGTTGTGTTTTGTAGTTTTATTACAATGTGATAAATACAAATGAATGAGAAAAATATGCTGTAATTTTTTTATTTAAGTCTTGACCAAAGTGGTGGACCGACAGACCAATCAACCAACCAGCATTGCCAACCCTAGAGCTAAAAATGACTGGCAGATGGTTCGATAACATGGCTACACATATCCACAGAGGGTGTCTGTAGAAGCAAAATGACATCTTATTTAAAACTAGACCCTTTACTGCTACCAGCAGCCCAGAGAAAACAATGATTAGTCAATAATGGGTCGAAGAAGTGGGCCTATTTAAGAAAAGATCATCTTTAAACTTCACAAATAGAGTGCAACAGGAGAAAGAATAGCTAAAGAATACAACATCAAAACAAAAATTGATGTGATCACAGAAAGGCCATGTTGTCTTTGTTAAATTAAAGAACCAATTAGTAATATAAGAATAATAAAAGAAAAAAGAGCCACCATGGGCATTAACTGAATACAGTAACATAAACAGTCCATTTTACAACAATACATGCAAGGTAGGTTTAATTTGTTGTTAAATCTGAATTCAATATTAAAGGCAAAAATTATCTAGACTAAAAAATGAGAACTGAAAAAATTGCGAAGAGGAGCCCGAAAAGATAGAGAGTTGTGGTTTTTGCCATCTGACAAAGCATTCATTTTACTGTAATGTTGAGTTGAAGGAGAGAAATAAAGAGAAAGAGAAAGAACCAGCTCCTGCAGTGATGAAGGAGAACGGAGGGAATTGCCCTCCGTTCTCCTTCATCACTGCAGGTCTGCTTCCCCCTCCTCCTCTCCTGGATGTCCGCCATTAGACACGCTCAATTGGATTCCTGTCAGATGTGAGGCCTCGCCCTGGGTCTCCTTCCTACGGGTGACTGAGCATGCTGTATGTGTGTGTACATCTATGTGTGTGAAAAAGCTACACAGCTTTCCCTATAAGAACTGCCAACACAAACTAACACAAATACAAGCATGCATACACATGCACTACAGTATGTGGAGTAATACACACACACACACACAGTTCAAGGTTCAGGTCACTTCAGGCAGTGGTCTAAAGACAGCACACACCTATTAGCATGGGCCTTGGCATAGCAGGGTAAATGCTGACACAGATTTGACCGAGAGGCTACAGTGCTGAGATTTACTGTATGCCTACATTCAGTGACCTAGCCGTGGCTTTGTCCAAGATACAGTATGCCTTTTGTGATCTGAGCATTTGAACTAGTTGCTGGGGGTATAAGCTGCTTACACCTTGACCTATCACAGGGGAATAAATAACTACCTTGGGAATTTTGGCCATATAATGCTAGTCTTTGTAACACTTGGCTTGCTCACCTTTCACCAGCAGAGTCATAAATATTATGTTTGGTCAGAACATAAATGCTACTGTGAAACTCGAGCCTAAACCATAAACCTAAAATGAAAAGGATTAGCTGCAATATTAAACATTATCATGCCAACAGCATGTTCCACAGCTCTCCTATTATTGTTATTTGGATTTAAGTCAATGCATGGAACATCCTGGTGTTTGTATCATTCACTCTAGGTCAGATTATATCTGAACACAGCAAAAGGTGGCTTGAGGCTATTAAAGTGAAGCAAGGGTCACTCACAACACACGAATCAATAGCACAGGTTATAAAGAAAAAAGAAACAAAAGATCAGCCACGCTAAAACCAATACATCTGGGAACATTTTCTCTGATTGGCGGTATGTTTCTTTGAGCCTCTGAAGATAGCGTAGGATACTGTAGTTACAGTGTTAGCTTGGATACCGCATACAGCTGACAACCTATCATGATATGTAGCAACTCTTAGGACAGGAATTTGATCAATTAAAAGGAAGAGAGCAGAGCTAATAAAATGTCTGTGCCTCAATATAAAATATAGATTGTATAAAGAGCTTTAAGTTGGCCTGCTTCTGTAAAAGCTGGACATTCAGTAAACAACATGATTTTACCTACAATAGTGAGCAGATGGCTTAAACATGGGTGACAAATCAGAAGGGGGCCTCACACCTAGTCCATTTATTGGATTACAACCAATGCTATATGTGTGGATAGCTGAAGGTGTCTAAAAGGTTTTCAGAAACACTCAATATGTGTCTCAATCTGGGTGGCTCAGGATAATTTCAGATGGGGTGGCCAGACTGGGGCACAGACTCAGAGAGGTATGGCACATTTGAAGTAGTACATAAAAAAGTAGATTAAACCTCTAGTTCTATGAAATAATAAACCATACATTATTAAGAATTTCATTATTTCCCAGGCCACTGCTGCTGCACAGTCGTTCCACCCACTGAGGCAAATCATGCCAAGTACTCCACAACAACACAACTGGAGAAATGAATGCAAATCTCATGCTGCATGCATGATATAAAATAAAATTAATTTGATCAATATCAGTTACAAAGTACCAGAAAATGTCAGTTGCATTTAAGGCAACAATTTGTAATTGTGTTTCATTCTTCATTCATTAATACTGAAAAGCATCACATTTTGACTCTGGAAGGTGTAGCACCAGGGATAGCCAATCAGATTCTGGGGTAGGCCGGTGCCACCCCTGGCCACCCCCTTGGCTCCGCCCATGGTCTCAATAACGATATCCTCATTATGCACAATATAATGAAGACATAATATTTAAAAAGCTTAACAGATCTATTCAAAAGTTTTGTAAGACTAAGTGGTAAGTGTACAGTACACAGAAAATGTCTAGATCAGGCACACAAGCATGAGTCATGGAGGCAGAGAGATCAAGAGAAATAGGATCTCTGTCTGAACTTATGCCGTCGGTTTCATTTACCAAATGATATCATTTCTGACTATGTAGAAATCACCAAATAAAGATTTGACTCATAATAATGTCATTCAAGCTGAAAATAACTTTTCACTAGAGATGAGGTCACCTGAGCCTTACATGTAAAACAGGTGCAGTATAAGACAGGACCAAATCACCATCCCAACTCTCTCTGAAATGCACACAAATGTACAGATAAAGCTTTCAAGTATAAGAAAATGTAACGCATAACTAATGGACAGGGGGGAAAAAAGGCAAAGAGGCATGAAATCCATTTGTGTGTGGGTGTGTGTGGCAGATGTTAAGTTGGGGGCAGGGCAGGAACTTCAGTAGGCTAATTAGCTACCATTATCTGTCGCACCCAGTGGCCTGTGCCACTAATCCTGCTGATTAAACACAGTGGGTCTCCACAGCTCCCCAGCACACAGTAACACCAGACTGATAAGGCCACAAAGCTCAGTGATGAAATAAATGTCTGGCTGGGACTGGACTATGTAGAACTGGCACTGTTCTGTTTTGCATATAATGTACCACAGGACACTACTGTGAGAAGCACACAAAAATGCTGAGGTTCTGTCTTGATACAGCCAATGAATAAGAATGAGAAAAGTAAACAAGAAAGTGTAAAACAGGATTTCAAACATCCACAGTTTTTTGAGATTTACTGCAGCTCTTCTCCAAATTGAATGGAATAATTTCCATCCGACAAAGTGACGCCTGAACAGGTCAATGCTAGCCAACACCTAAATCCAACTTATGCTGTTAAAGGTTTACTTATAAAAGGAATGTTGGGGAGTACAGACTCAAAACAGTTAAGGTCTTCAAAATGGTAATACACCTGAACTGGCACAAGGTGTAGCTCTCTAATGTATACTGTATGTCCCACAATTTAAGTAAACAGCCAACAATTAGCACGTTTCTGTTAAATAACTGTAGCATGATTAATGGTGAATTAGTGAAAATTATCTTTTAATTAAACTGTAATTTTAAACAAAAAAATTCTGCCAATCCTACCGAGAGTCAATTTATTAAACGCCAGCCCCTCCGTTTCAGGCAAATGTAAACATTTAGAGTAACAGGTTAATAATTCACTTTCACACAATGTACTGAGAAAATGTTTTCATACATCCACTCTGAATCAATCTGCAGTGCAGTATACTCACAGTAAACATGGAGCGGAAGCTGCTGAGATCAGTGAACAGCTCCTCCACAGAGGTTTTCCTGGGATCGACAGCAAAGTACTCCAGCATGTTCTGATACAGCGTCAGCATATTGCTGTGCATGATCATCAGCTTGCCATACTGCTCCCGTGCAACACTGCTGAAGCTGTGAGGGTTGCAGTCAAGGTCAACACCACATCCAACACATAGCAAGTGTTAAATAAATCTTGATGTGAGTATTTCAATATCTGACAGCAATTTAGGGGAAAAAATCCAACATTCACATTTGTTGCCATAAGGGCTGGATGCTAGAAAACAGACTTGCAGTGGTAAACTATGACACTGGAGCTCTGATGCTGTCAGTTACAGTACACTGTGTTCACTGCTGTGACCCTCTGCAGTCTACAGCATTTGGTTGCTGGCAAAGTGTGTTGGTGTATCTGACATATACTGTATTACCTGAAAATATAAACACAAATCAAGAAAAAAAATATACAAATACTCTACCCTGAAAGCATGCAGACCAAAACCCACTACATTGCTCCCTTGGACACTGTGCACAACTTACTAGACTCCGTGTTCAAATTATTTTAACCTCCCTTTGCCACTATCTTTTCAAAGCCCATCCAATTACAATATAATCAACTGAAAACTCACAACTTCTAAGCATAGTTTTAAGTTTTAATATTTTCGTGTAAAGGCCTGGTTCTCACAGATATGGGTGCATCCTGGAACAAATATTACCAACTAATCTTTGCTAATCTGTTTCAAAATCGGCTAGCATAGAAGACTGAAGACCACTAAAAGGTCTTCCTGGTTAAACCTCGCAAAGTAAAGAACAGCTCTTCTGTGTTGGTACCTTTGTATGTGTGAAAAAGGACAAATAGGGAATGCTTGTGTAAACATAAGCTGGAGAAAGGTCAAAGCCAAGTGAGGGGAGATGTGAGAGCACTAAAAAGACATCCTGCTTAATACCAGGGCATGCTGTTAAGCAAGTCAGCTTGAAGTTAACACACACACAAACTCAGTCTGGAAAACTAGCAACTATGAATCTCCTGTTCAAAAAATGATTTCATATCCTTTCCGCATGATGACCCCATTTAATAAAAATCCAAACTCCTGATGCAAGAGAAAATAAATATGGATTGAAAACCAATATGCTTCTTCTAAAATAATTTTCTATAGATGAAAGTAAATGGGAAAAAGGTACAAAAAAGAAAAAGATATGTCCCTAACCAGCAGTCCTGCTAATGACCCAACATCCTTGTCAAATGGCATACAAGAAGCAATAGCATCTACATGTGTGTTGTTCACAAGTATGTATGTGGGCAGCCTCTCTGGCTTCTATTGTGCCCCTTCATTATAGCTCAATTGATGGACCCATTTGAGGTCTGGCCTCAGTTGGATCTGGCAGGGGATGGGAGCATCTATTCACAGCTGGGTAAATGCTTTTCAATAGGCAGTGCTCCCAGACTGCCTTGTCAGTAATATATTTCTAAACCAGAAGCTGGGGAAAACAAGACATGAGAAAAGCTGGAGTAGGTGATGGGAAGCAAAAAAAAAAAAAAAAAAAAAAAAGGGGGGGAGAAAAGGGGGACAAGAGAAGACGGAGCCAAGAGTCATGGTTGATAAGTACCATAGGGTGCAAAATCTCTCTCCTCCTCATGTTCCCCTTCTCCTTACTTCTTACCTATCCCAGAGAAAGCAGTGGTTCACTGCAGCTCATTCTCAAGAATTCCTGTTCATGCTTGCTTGCTTATAGACCTTTACACCTCACCCACCCATCCCCATCACATTTCCTCCTCCCATTCTTCTCCTCCAGTTTCTGCCCTGGTCTAATCTGCCACCTTTACAAGTTTAGCTCACATTTAGAAGTGCAGCACTAGACCAAAAACGCACAGTGCAGGAAGTGAAAATGGATTTTTTAACATCACCAATGTGACACTCCAGGCTTCTCATGATGGCAGTGTTATAATTCAATATCACTAGTGTTAATTTTCTATTTGAAGAAAATTCTGACAAAATATTTTTCTCAATAGCCCTTTATCACATGACAAAGACAAGAAAACAATGGCATAATGAAAAAACTGACTAAATCTCTACATTTTTATAGAGTAAAAAGAGATGACTAAACAAAGTTAAAAAGAAAAAGAACCTAACAAAATCATTCTATATTTTCATTGACATAATTACACAAACTACAGTAAAACTCTTCCTGGTGACTTTGCACACCAGCACTGCACCAATGAAAGCACTGTGAATACTGTTACTGTGGACCTAGCTAAGTTTTGACAAAACAGGTTGACATTTGGACCCACTTCAAAAATAACGCTGCCAAAAAAGATGAACATGTTCCATTATTTGAAGAGATGGCTGTAAAATCACTTGGAAGAATACCACAAACCTGAAGAGAAACCTCAAAGTGAACCATAGAGTAAGGTTAACACCAGCATGTTTAAAACTGTTACTTAAAGACATAGTAAGCTAACTGCTAAAAGCAGTAGTCTAAGATTATGTATTGGCATTTCCAACAACAGGACATTGCTACATTGCTTGCAAATGGGTTTTTAGATAACGTCCAGCCAGCTAACTTGGCTAAACTGAGTGTTAAACATGCTCTCCATTCTAAAGCATGCACAACGTTATTGACAACGACACACATTCCTGAGAAATATAAGAGTAGGATTTATTGCACAGTTGTTGTACAAGCAGGGTTTGACAGTAACCATGGCCACAAGAAGTTAATATGTGGCCACCATATATCCCCAGCAGGTGGCCTGCTGTGGCCACCAAGTTTTATAAGTTTTATCAGCTCTCTTCTGAGAATGAGACCCTGAGGTCTTTTCAGACTTTATACTTTTATCCTTTTTCATGCCAGGATATACTACTTAAAATGATCTCAGATGAGACACCCTCGCCACAAAGCTGCATTCTTAATCAGGTAACCTGTCGTTATATGGCTTATTTCCCTTTCTTCTTTTACATTAAAAAAGACATATCAAATGTTTAATGGACATTTAGTGGAAACGCTACACAATGATGTCCGGGGTTTCTTTTTACCAAGACTACAGTGTTCAGAGATTTAGTTGACATAAAAAGGATGAGGATGACTATATATGAATAAAACTGGACTCAGAGTAATCACTAATGCAAAATATAAATATAATAAAAATAGGTGACAAAAGTAGTAGTTAGAGTGTGAGGTTCAAATAATAATGGCCTTGGGGTGAACTATCTCTGTGTAGATCATGAAACAAAACTTTAAACAAATACCTTTTTGGAGGCACAGTTAAGCTCTGATGAGTATGTGTATGAGTGAGCTTATAGCTGACCTCAGGTTTATATGGCCAAATATTAGACACCTAACAATTACTCGGTGTTGAACTTCTATAACTCCATCTACATTTCTATTAGAGGCCTACAGTGAGCACAGTTTATATTATCAAATTTGAGCTTTGCTGTTTTAAATCAGTATTGCTGAGATAATATATTTTGTGCAAAGCAGTGACAGACAGAGCTGTCACATCCATTCTCAGTGAACGTTTGTGTTGCACTCAAGTTCTCTGTGAACTACTACAGCACAAGCCCTCAATGCCCCAGCCCCAAGGCTACTGATGAAAACTACATGAAGAAAGCTAGGTATTATTGAACACACACACCTGGCCCGAGACATAGCTGTCAACATTATCTAATTATCAAAGTATTACCTCAGAGTACTTCTAAGCAGTCGTCTCCCAACCAGGAGGTTGAAGGTTTGAATCTTGGTGCCGGCAGTCCACATGTGGAAGTGTCCTTGGGCAAGACAATGAACCCACCCCCACCCCCTTGCCCCTGATGGTTAGAGCCATTGGTTGAGGTGGCGCCGAAAATAGCTGCCATCGGTTCTGTACCGCAAACAAATTCCTTGTGTGCAACATACTTGGCCAATAAAGGTGATTAACCTTATCCTTATCCTCACTCCTGCCAAACAAATATGGAAAGTCGTCAACAATGGAAGATATCCAAACATGACTATGGAAAAAGTGAGTGGGATTGTAGTTCTAAAGCACTTTTGTTACACACTTAAGTGCACTCAGAATGCTTTGAATAATTTTAGCCATTCACCCCATTCTGCACCCGATATCGCCAAAGCTATCATAAAATCATTTACACATACTCATAAACCTATAGCCATGGCCAATGAGAGAACACTTTGACATGTGGACAGGAGAAGCATGGGATTGAACCACCAAAAAGCCACCCCATAACAGTAAAGATATATTTTCTTGAGCAGTTCAGAGTATGCTATGGATAGTTTTATGTAAACAAAAAGGTGAAACATTTCAGTTTAGAAGGAGAGTGATAGTCACTTTTGTAGACAAGCTTTGAATTCAAAATGTCCAAAGTGAAAGTGATAAGGACTAATGAAAAACACATGATTATTAATTACGTAAAACAGAGGAAATATATTTAATCAAAGGCGTGAAAGTTCCTTCTCTTTAGACCACAAGTTCAGTTATGTGTTAAGATATGAATTGCCAGCCTATGTAGCACCCAGTGTCACATGCAAGCCTAAATTCCAGTTCCAACAATATTCATTTAACATTTGTTCTGTTTGATTCATTACAGTAAAGTCTCTAAAAAAATAGCCCAGACTAGTGAGTGATCACATGCGTGTGTAAAGGATATAGCCATTTTAGTGAAGAACATGTCGCTGGGGTCATCAGGGGAGGAGAAAGTCTCCAGGTCTCTCTCCAGCTGCAGCAGCTGCTGCTCCATCTGCCTGAGGCTCTTTTCCAGATTCTCTGCAGACACTGACACACATCCACACACATTTGTAAAAGCACAGCCACATGCCAGGGAAATGTGAAGAAAGAGACAGAAAGGACAACTCAATTACAGGTACAATCCACTGCATTTTTATTTTGAAGCTCTGAAAAACAACATAGAAATAAATAAATTAAATGAAGTTAAAGGTGAAACAACAGAGAAGCTAGCTCAGTTTCAGAGTATGCTGATTACAGGTTCATGGTGTACCAGAAACACCACAGAAATACACAGTGATGAAGTATGAAGATGTTCAGTAGAAATCTTTTGAAGCCCTTCATCCTTTGTCCTTATTCTATTCAACAGGTGCATGTATCATGCAGGTGGAAGAAACAGAGGAACCCTGAATCTAACTTTCTGTTAAGTTGGTCATGGCTGCCACTTTATGTTAGTCACTGAATATATCATATGGCTTAAATTACCCCGATTAGACCTGCCTGACAAAAAGGCATAAGCTGCTTATTTTTAAGTAGTTTCAAATTTCCCTTGATCCTAATACATGCTTTAGGAAAATAAAAGAGGGAGAATTTTAATATACTGTAGCTAAACTTCTCACTGAATTTATGGCCTCGTTTACTAACGGGAAGATAACTGTCTTGAGCGCACGCGTTTGTTGAATCAGTCATCTTAACATCAAATATTCTGAAAGTCTGCAGTGTCTGAAGTTGTACAATTTCTCCTTAAATGTTATGTTTCTAAAAGTGTTGAAGATGATCTTTTCTGTACAGGTAACAGTGAGCAAAATGCAGGTTCATACATTCAGCTAGCTAAGAGAAAATGTCAAGTGGCTGAACATGCTGCAGTCACAAAGACATAAAAATAAAATGTGACTGCTGCATCTGTACCTGACAAACGATTATCATATCTGTTCTGTCTACTCACTGCATGTTGTCTTTGTCTTCAACATTATATTTTAACTCCTAGCAATTATTCAGAGTATCTACATTCTCTTTTTCTCTGATCTACATTACTGTCTATATTGAAAATGCCACAGCACACAGATCCTTTACAAATCCTACCACAAAGTATATTATGACAATGGATATCTCAATCAGAGCAGCAGTCACAGGACAACTACAATATACTTCACTCACTGGCTGTTTTATATTTAGGTAAGAAATCACCCAGCTAATCTATGCATTAAACAATAAAAAGCAAAGGCCTGTTGAACATTCCCCTGCAGAAGAGCTGTAATGAATTTTTTCTGTTTCAGGAACAATTAAAACAACTGGTAAGAGACACATCATGAGCATGTGTTTAAACAACGCAGCAATAAAATGGCTCCCTTTTTTGTGCAGTTTCTGGTCTCTATGCTCTTTGGCTTCTGAGCTTAAAAGCTAATGACCTGTATCCAGGATTATTTTGGATACTGTCGACACTCATAAAATAGCTATAAATCTTTGACCAAATAATCAATAATTTCCACACCCGATATGATATGCAAGACAGATAAAACTGTCCAAAAGACATTTTAGTAAACAATCAGAAACTGACATTTCACCTCCTGGCTGTATTATTTTCATTTCAATCTTTGTCTGTGTTTTTTTCCCCCCCAAAAGCCTCCTGCATAACCAAGCAACCAAAATCAGTTGAATGAGGTGTGGGCAGCATGCAGAGGTGGACGGAAAACAGACAGGCAGGCTGTTAATAGAAATAATTAAAGCCCAGTGATGACGCACTGACTGAGGAAAGAGCACAGGAGGGCAAGACAGAGAGCAAAACAGGCTGGGATTTCTTCTTTCCTTAGCTTCACCATCCAAACTACAAACTTTTATGATGAGGCTCCCTCACATGAAAGGGAATATGAATGGCAGGAGACATGCAGGTGACAAAAACTGAGACATATGCTTCAGGCATAAATCCTGCCTGGGACTGATCAGGAGTGTGAATATAGCAGCTGGAATGTTTTGTTAAACACACAGAAACATGTTTCAAATCAGATGATCCTGAAGCTCTGTATACACACATCTGTCACATACAACTGAAGAATTGTGAAATAATTGTTCTGTGGTATGGTGTCAAGCAGAGCAGGAGATAAAATATAAAAGGGTGTTTCATGTCTTCCTTGTTCTTTCTGGCCACTCTGCTCATGCTTTCTTTTTTTCTTTATGTTAAAGCGTGAGTGGTTTTTATGAGCAGCAGGACCTGAATGCCTCTGTGGTCCAGAGGGGTTGCAGACAGATGTAAGATGTTTTAGAAGAATAATAACTGGAATATTTGTAGAGGTCAAATCCCCCATTGACATCCTTTTATTACTCTACCAACCTGCTGTGATATAAATGAGAGTGAGCAGAGCACACAAGCATGCATACTTACAAACAGCGCCACTACACACAGAGCTCCACTAAACATCATTGTTTGATGTACAGAAATTAAAAGACTGAAAAAACACAAATGTGTGTGTGACCAGACTGATGTGCCAGAGGCTGGGGAACAGCAAAACTGCAATGCAAAAAGTGCTAGTGCACACAGTGTGCTGAGAATCTACTACATATAAAAAGAGCATGAAGGTCACTGAATTGCAATTTGCAGTGTAGACCGCTCACTCTATATAAGTCAGCATGAGGCTCATCAGTCAGACTGCATGTGGCACAACTACAAAACAAAGCTTGAGCTGCATTTTGGAGAACCATAAATATAACTGGATCTTCACAGTACCTCTCAATGACTCGTCGGGGACACGAGCCTGAACCAAAACAGCTTTTCTACAAAATAAAATGTAAGCAGGTGTCCATGTTTGTCTTGATTTCAACATCAAAACCAAGCAACTAAATACCCTAAGTGCCTGCTGTCTATTGTGTATGGCTCTTTGTGATGGAGGACAAGAGCAATAAGAAAGAGAGAAAAGGTATAGAGAACAAGAATGACAGACCTAAAACAGAGTGACAAAAGCAGACAGATTAATAGATACACATGTAGAAAAAGGCAGAGACTACGTCTCTATGTCAGGAGAAATACTTATTGTAATAATTAATTACTGAAAAGAAGAGAAGGGAGCAGAAATGAGACAGACACAAAGAAACCCTGAACTAGGCTGCAGTTTGGCTTCCATGAAAGGTGGGACTGGCAAAGGGGGAAACCAAGCCTGTATTACACACAGCCAAAAGACAGCAGCTTTTGCAACAGAAGTGCAAATCATTAGTTACCTTTATCCAACCTTGTTTTCATGCTCAAGTATGCTCTGTGGTTAGTGTCTATGAATGTAATGCAGCCTGTTAATGCGTCTTCAGGCCTCCCGAATGGCTGTCAGACGTGATGAAAAGGAAGCCACTAAAGAGCATGGTTTACAAAGACAAAATGGGATTTGTGTGTCTGAATACTAGCCACAGAGAGATGAGGCACTCATACATCTCATAATGGTGCAAAAACAGAGACAGACACTGTGACATAGAGAGAGCACTACATCTATAGAGATGCAAATATATACTCAGCTTGAGGTCCATCAAGTAAGGAGGTGGACAAAGCCTGGAGAGAGATTGAAGGATTGTGCTTCCCATTGATCTCACACTTGTACTTATGAGTCTTGGCCAAGGGCTGTGGGCACACAGCACAGTTGGACGAAATGAAAAACTCAAAAGGAGCATTGTTATCCGAAGATTATCAAAGCAACAACAAAACCTAGAGGGGTTCTTAGGCGGAAGAGTCCAAACAATAAAGTTGCCCATTTCATCCCTACTATGTTTTCTCATCCTCACTCTCCTTTACTTCTTCCTGGTGGGAAGAAAGCAGTGAGTAAAATCTTCACTGGAGTGACAAGAAACAAGCTGTGACTGTGTCCCACACACTCTATAGACTGCTGCTCACTACTTTGCTCTGAGAGATGCATATGGCAATATGAATAAAGAACATGATTCAGTCTCCTCTGACCACGCAGTCTGTTGCCTGTGACCTTTTCCATACTGAAGACACATAGGCCAAACACAAAGTACTGTGTCAGCATGTGTGTGTGTGTATAGAGCATTGTGTGCTAGCCTATGTGCCCAATTACAAAGAAAACAGTCAGTCTGCATTAAAACAATGCAGAGACCTAAATTAAATTTAAACACTCTGTTGTTCTCCACCTGAGCAGTAGACATGACCTGAAGTATTCTCCTGAAAAATAAACCTGTAACTCATTTAGATGTGCTACAGCAGAAGATTAATGTTAGTATCAAACAGCAGTGCAGATGAGCAGACTGTAGCATAGATCAAACACTAAACTCATAAAATACGATGCCTGTTTAAAAAATCAACAAGCATCTAATCCCAGAATAATCCCCAGAGAGTTAGAAAAGCATAAAGGTAAGAGTAAAGCTCAAAGTCAAACAGAGGAATGAAAAAGAAGAATGCTACACTTCTATCTATGTAAGAATTAGGGCTGTAAGGATTTTGTCCATCAAGTGTCAGTCAGCTCTTCAGTGTGACTATTTGACTATTCTTTCTTTTTCTTTAATATATAATTATATAGCCTAGACTTTCAGAAAATGAAATACTGCTTATATTTCACAGCCTTATGCTGGTTTACAGTTTCCTTGCCCCTTGCATGGGGATATGTACATAAACATCAAGAGCCGATGTACCAGAGTCAAATTCCCCGTGTGTCCAACACACCTGGCCAACAATCAGCGGATTCTGATTCTGATGAATTTCAGGCATGATTTAGATCACACTAACATCAGTATTTAAATACAAAAGAATGAGAGGAACATAAATTCTGAGCATTTGAAAATCAATAAAAGATGGCTGCATATGATGCGAGATTTAAATTACGACCTATTTAAAATGATGACATATAATTTTGGGCTGCCATATGGGTTTGTCAGATTAATGAGGCAGGCAGCACACTTGTATTTCTGTTGAAACAATGATATTATTGTCTACTTTTTCTTCTGAGATATGGTTATAGCCTAGATTACAAACAAGTTTAAGCTTCTCCTATCAGTTAACAACAGCACATGTCGTGACTGCGTTTGATGTGTGCCAGCTCGCACTGCGGATGATTCCGCTTATTTATAGTTCCTCAATGAAATGTTTTCCCCATGCATTTTTGTTAGCTTCCTAGTCTTGTTTGGATAGATACATGTCACAGAAACAGTCGGTAAATAGCTGTGCATTGCATTTTAATGGAGATGGGTAAACAACCCAGACTCACACAACATTATGTAAAACCAGCTACATCGTCTCTACAGTCTCTTATCTTGTAAAAGTAAACCACGATGTTTGAAAACCTGTGTGACCCCGAGCCTTCCCTTAGTTATGCTGCTATAGGCCTAGGCTGCTGGGGGGCCCCATGATGCTCTGAGTTTCTCTCCCCTCCCCCCCCCCCCCTTCCCACCTCACCCCTCTCCTCTCCTCTCCCTATGCTTCTATATGCCACCATTACACATTACTAACTTTGTGTCTCCCCTCTTCCGTAGTGTGTCCTCTCTCTCTCCCTGTACCTTTCTGCAGGTTGCCCTGGCCCTGGAGCTCTACGTCTCTGACGAGCAGTCACCAGCCACATCGACCTGATCAGTGTTTGATTGTTGTGTCTTGTTGCTTTTCTTCTTTTCTCTCTCCTCTATCCACTCACCCCAACCGGTCGAGGCAGAAGGCCGCCCACCAAGAGCCGGGGTCTGTCGGAGGTTTCTTCTGTTAAAGGGAGTTTTCCCTCCCCACTGTCGCCAAGTGCTTGCTCAAGGGGGATTTGTTGGGTTTCTCCTCTATAATAATAACAATAGTAAGGTCTAAACCTTACTTTGAAAAGTGCCCTGAGATGACTTTTGTTGTGATTTGGCACTATACAAATAAAATGTGATTTGATTTGACTTCTAATAAAGTGTTTTCAAACACTGCTTGTACTAGTGGGTTTTGTTGTCCTCTTCTCCTTGTTCTGCAATTTGCTAAATAGAGTCGACCTTAATATACATCCATGCGTCGGACAGTGTCACCAATAAATTGTGTATTCACGCCTCCCCCAACCGCAGGGGAAAGTATTGAGCAAATTGCTGCTTGGCACACCAAAATGAGAAGACAACGAACTACCGGGCTGGGGTTACCTTCTATTGTAATGCACACTGGCTGATAAAAAATAAAATATAACAAAGTAAAAACAATGCCTCAACTAGAAAATTCTAAGTCGACTGACAGGTCTCTCTACTAAAGACTCGACACTGGACTATTAGGGGAAGCCCTAGTAAGAATAAGGTGTAGGTATGCCATTGTGTTTAGGCATTAAGCTCCTCAAACTTCATCCTTTAATTACTGCTCACATACATAGGAAACAAGCAAAAACTGTATGAAAAATGACATCTACTGTTGAGTGTTTATTATTTGTGTAATACAAAAGTATAATCTCTGGTAGTGACTAAATCTTTTTGTTTTTTGATCTTAGGACCAGTCTCTCCCCTAAGATTACTTTGCAGGAGATCAGGTAAATTATTTGGTCTCACTTGATCTCAATGCTTTTAAACTGAGTAATGAGAAAAGGCAAAATGTTAAAATGTGTTAAAAAGTTAATGATGTCAGTAGTTTATATGGCTGGAGAACCCTCGCAGCTCATTATATGTTCATTAGACTCACCTTTCCAGCCATCTACCACTGATATTGTCAAAACCCCCACTACTGTTTATGTCAGGCCATAAAACTTGATCTCAACATCTAGTAAAGGGCCAAAGTGTTCTTTCAAATGTTCCAAAATATTATTCTATTTTCAGTTTTAACAGCATTCCCTTCGTTTGTCAAACAATATGTTGGACAGAAGATAACATAAAAGGTTTTCTTGTTTAACTCAAAGCTAAATGGACTGGCTTTTCTGAGTTCCCAACAGACTTCATGACACAAAGCTGCAGAACAAAGAGTAAAACAAAAAAAAAAAGCAAAGTGGTGCTGGTAAACATCGCCAGTGCTGGCTGGTGATTTGATAGGGAGTGGATGAAGCTCCCTGGGCACTGAGAGATCTAAACTACTTAAGCTGACACCACCAGCAAACCAAAATAACAGCACAGTCACACTGTGATATTGCCTCAGAGAAAGCAGGAGGTAAAAGTAGTGTTACAATTATCAAGTAACATTGTCGACAGTGATCCCTGCATGCTTAAAAAGAGTCACTCACACTTAAAAAGAGTCAGTGATGTGAAGTACAGCTAAATGGCAATGACTTTTGTTTTCCTTATTAAATCCATATGTTTTAAGGTCTAGGGAACAGACCAAAAGTGTTAGGATGCTAGAACTTTATGTGCATGTGTGTGGAGGTTTGTGCAGCTAGGCAACAATGTATATTACCTCTGCTAGCTCGGTCCACATGTTCCAAATCATCAATGAACTTGATCACATCTGGAAATTCCTCCTCACACACTTGTGCCAGGAAGTGAAGTAATGTGGTCTTTTGGTCTGCTGACTTCGTGTCCTTTAGCTGTTGTAAAACACACACACGACAACAGTAGAAAATTAACAACATATTTAGTTTCTATAGCTGTATAAAGTGGAGGCTGACTATGTCACAGATGATTCTGTGACTTGTACACATGCGCCAGAAGCACATCCACAATTTGATGGCCTCTCCTGTGCTTTATAACTCTCTCTCCCCAGCACACAACAATTTTACAATTTCTCTGATAAATTTTCATCATTGCTCTTTTACAGTCTAATTCTAAAATGTCTCTCAGTATCCTCACCAAACATCCCTCCTGTGGAGTGTGTTGCTGTGTATCTCTCTAGGTGATCTATTGGTAGACAGCAGTGTTCTCAGCCCCGCTGGGTTTAATCATGTTTGTGTTATATCCTCTAATCAAACATTCTCATCTCTCTTTTCATTTCTGTTTTCCTGTTTTTTCAAAAGCTTCAAGTGCTCGCTCACAAAAGGTCCCTCTCAGAATTTAGATGGATGGTAATCATAGCTGACAATGTAAACATTTTGCTTTTTTCCAGTTGGGCTGGGTGCAATTTTCCTGTGCTGTGGAGTGTGCCATGGAATTAAGTTGTCAAATTCGGAAGCAGTCACGAAGGTGATGTCTTCCTCTGCATATCCTGCCTCTGACATCGACTCACACCTTGGTCCCCTGCCATACATGCGCAAAAATAAGGAAACAGATACACTGGACCAGGAACATTACAAATATGGTCAACACAAAATATATTCCCTCATAGACATTTATTAACTGATTACTGTCATGCTAATGCAACTAATCCATCATGTACTGTATATACTGGTGTTTACTGTATATGAAAATAAGCATCCAAGTATAACAGGGCAGAGAGGTGGCAGTGATGAATGGCTGCAGTGTTGTTACTGTGGAAACTGCAGTCAGTGTGCCAACTGCTGTAATGTAACCACTGGAGAAGTCTCTTATTGCAGGATCACACTCTGTTCCCTGTCACTATCACACAGGAAAACTTACTGTTCTGTCTAATACCATATAAAATCCACAATATAGGTATTCACCGTATCTCCACCTCACTAAGCATGAGTAATCCTGCAGAGTGTGTGAACTTACGAAGGAATACTGACCGCAGCCTCAGTTATCTATTCTGAGCAGGAGAATGAGACTAAAGCACTGCCCTGGTTTAGGGCACTTTGATAGCTTCTAGCAGATAGAGGAAAAAACCTGTCTTGTGGAGCTGATAGAGTTCAATCAAATGAAATGGTTTCAAACAAAATGTCTCATCACAGTAGCCACTTTTAGATCAATTCGCTGATAGGGCTCCGCCAGGGTCACATAAAACACTGGCATGTACATATATTGAGGTAACACCACCAGAAACATGTAGCCAGACAAGAACAGACTTGCACAGTCATGTAAACACATGTACTCAGAGTACAACAGGTACAGAGAGAGAGGTTAATGTTGTACATGGGTGTGTACACAAAATTAATCCTGTGCATCAAATCTGTCTTCAGTCTAAACAATACTGACCATTCTGGACTAGGGCTTGTACCTATGACACAACAGTTATTCAAAATCCACACTGCAGTTTTTTGGAATGCATGTAATCAGAATACTGCAGTAATCGTCTCCTTAAACACCTAATCGCTGCAACTCAAGGGATAAAGGATTACATAGTGCATATGAACATCTGATGGTAAGGTCAGCATTTCAACCCCTCACCTTGCAGAGTGAACTGAGGTCGAAGCCAAATGACTGGGCGTTTCGAGAGCCTGCATTCATGTAATTCCCCAGCAGCAGCACCAGCTCCAGCAGGCGGCCAAAGGAGCGGCTCTTCCTGACCTCATCACAGGCAGCACTTACAGCCAAGATACCTGGGCGCAAGTTGTTTACCTGCTCCTCAAACTGCAGCCGGAACAAGATGTGGCTGAGGCGAGGACGCAGGCGCTTCACATTGCTCATCTGGGAGAGGAGGACAGCGATGGATGAAACAAGGAAGCACGAATGAGAAAATAATATGAAAAGAGAATCAAGAGCAAGGAAAATTATGTCAAAGAGACAGAAGAAAGTCACAGAACACAGTCAAACTTAAAATAACTACAATCATAGATTTGGCACACACTCAACATTCAACCGATCTAATTTAAAAGACATTTATGCAACTGGCATGCTGGAAAGTGTTGCTAGGCAGTAGTAATAGATGCTGGCAGTGATTTGATTTGGGACCCAGGTCTGGTAAGTTAATTGTGGAGCTAGTGTCCATATAGGGCAGGCAACAGAGGGGGTGGAATATACAATAGGCTGCCTTGGATTACCACTCTCACGTAATTAGAGAAAATTGGAAAATATTGCACTGGGCCCAGGGCCTGGCCACAACAGTGACTGTGTATGCGTGTGAGGTGGTAGGGAGGGGCGCAGGTTGCAACTGTCTGTTTCACACAACAGCTGGTTGTGCTGTTTGATGTCCTCCATCAAGGGTTTAATTATAGCTACTGTAATGTTATCAAATGACTTTTTCAATGTGTGAGCGTGCACTGTGTGTGTTCATATAAGAGACAAGGAGAGAGAGGAATCGGGCAGGAGAAGAATATGACCAAATGAAGAGAAAGCACGGTGAAAAAGACCCAAACATAATGCACTGAGATGGGATATTTACATGATCAGTGGAAGAAGAAAGAAAGCAAACGTACCCTGCTCTTCAGGTGAATGTTTGCAACTATTGTTTGCATGAAGACTATGATGGCAGTGGGCAAAACTGAGCTGCTGACGGCAGTATTTGCAACATGAGGGGAATGATTCTAACATAACAAAATGGACTATAAAGAAGAGGTTATGGAAAATGTGGTTTGTGGTACTGTCAAGAGCGTGGACAATAAGTGTAAATGTTATGCACCATATAGTGTATAAAACAAATTAATGGGAGTAAATATTTTGGCAATTTGCAATAAATGTCTCAGTTGTGTGTCAACAATTTAAATCCTAGATGAAAGACTTTAATTCAGTGAAGCGCCTGTCATAAGGGCTGTAACTACAGTTGAGCCTAGAGGATACGCACGCTGGTAAACAGACTGATTCCTCAGATTTCAGCAATTATAATGAAGTCAGTGAGTCAACAACCACAACTGATGTACAGCCATAAAGGCTACTGGACTGCATGAAGTTGACTAGTGAGCTTTTCTGATCCTCCCTGGGCCCATGCAGGCACCACAGTGAAACATTATATACTGTAGGCAGGCTCCTCTTTGTTCTAGACTATGTCTCCCTGATGAACCATGAACACAACAGCTGAGCATTCAGCCACTGCATTTTCATTCAGTGATAACATTCTCTTTCACAGGTGATTAAAAACAGGTGGATGCATGGGGCAAAAGATTAAAGATTATTGTATGTTTTGTCAGTAACTTACTTGGTAGGCAGAAATACAAAATACACAAAAAAGTGTTATAATGTACCTTTCATGCATAATTCTCAATAAACCTTTGAAACATCTTTAAGAAATGTTGCAGATGTAATTAGGGAGCACTGCTGCTCTTTAATGTGCATAAATTAGCGCAGCAGTCCACAGGTGTCCCGACTTTCTTCTCAAGGCTTAAGGAGAATTTTAAAAAGCTCTGGATTAGGATATTCATATGAAAGTGCTCCACTTATGTGCGCGAGTGCGTGCGTTCATAGAAAAGGATAGAAAGGCACTGAGGGAAAGATATCATGCAAATATAAGACAAGTTTGCATTACTAAAACATGAAAAATAGTAATACAGTAGTTGTATGAAACCTGGCATAATTATGTTCAATTAAACTTTATTCATAATACACTGAATTAAACTCACCAAACAATAAAAGAGGATAATGTCTGAGGACTTTCATCCATTCAACAAAAATATTACATCAATAAGATCATTTTGTAATATACTGTACATGGACATGTTATTAGTGCTATAACCAGCAGTCGTCTGTGTGTGTGTGTGTGTGTGTATGTGTGTGTGTGTGTGTGTGT